GTGGCATCTGAGTACCACCTGGAAGAAAGGGAGGTTCTCGTTTCCTCTCTGTGAAGCTGCAAGAGAATGGCAAAGCTGTGACACTGGACCTGTTCCTCAAGATTTTTCGGCTTGGTTTAATGAACATGGCAATGTCAGTTAGTTTGTCAGTAAGCTCATTCCCTCTGATGCCTATGTGGCTGGGGCCCAGTCAGATCAATCCTTACCCCACGGTCTTGGAAAACCTGAACCCATTCTAGGTCCATTCCCTGGACATGCACTCTTGAGCCATGGCTTTTGATTTGGCTGCAGAGATCTTTAGTCCTGTCTTACAACACTTCTCATATACAAGATCCAGACAGTGCTGGGCTTTTCTTAGACAGTGTGGTCCAGTGGAGATGATTGTAAGATCATCTGCACAGGAGATGATCTTGCACCCCACTGGGAGGTGTATATTGAGGATACAGGACATTAGGGTTTTGAAAAGGGTTGGGCTGAGGACTCCACCTTTCCTCTGATTCCCTTCTGGATCAAGGTCTACTGAATAGCAATAGGATTTGCTAATTCAAAAGCCTTATCCAAGATGTGACAGTGCTGGTTGTGCTTAAAATGTGGCTATGCTGTGTGCTGTACTCATGCCCTTGTGAATCTATAGTGTTCATGTGGGGATCCCATTTTCCACTGGAATGGTTTAGTTCCATCCTCTCGGTCGTCTTGCCCAGACAGCTGATGGGAGAGATGGGGCGTTACTTCCCTGGCTCCCTTGGTTTTGGAATGGGAACTATGTCAGCCCTCTTCCAACTCGGGGATAGAGCGGAAGTTCCCCAAGACTTGTTGGTGAATTGCAATAATGCAAGCTCACCCGCCAGTCGTAGGTGGGAAATGATGGGGTAGGAAGTCCCATCACAACCTGGGGCTGAGTGAGAACTGTTTTTGTATGTTTCTCTTGGTTCCCGCAAAGAGAAGACAACATCCGAGTTATCGGGTTCAGCAGCCATTTCTCTAATATGAACAAGTCTACCTGGCTGTAGGCGTTCTTGGTTTGCCCTCAATGTAGCTGGAAGGCTGTTGCTTCTTGTTCTCACAGAAAACCCCTGCTCCAACCTGTTTGCCTTTGATTGAGGGTCGTGGTGTGTGTACCCGGGACTGAGCGGCTGGTAGCTCGCCTGACCCATTGCCACAGCCCTGTAAGGGTAGTCTGGTGGCCAAAGTACTCACACCATTCCAGCCATTTTTCCTGTCTGACTCTTTTGGCAGCTTCCTTGGTATCCCTGACAACTTCACGTAGGAGGGCTAGGTTGTCAGGGGTTCTTTACCTTTGGCATTGTTTTCTGCTCATGTTCACTCTGTGGTTGACCTCCTTACTCTTGTCATTAAAGTACCAGGCGTCTTTGTAACTCTTGGACCAAGGCGGAGTTCTAGGTATGGTCTAGGTATGGGAAATGATGGGGTAGGAAGTCCCATCACAACCTGGGGCTGAGTGAGAACTGTTTTTGTATGTTTGGAGTACATCCACATTTTCACTCTGTGGGGGTTCACTGCATCTAAGAGAGTGGGCCAGGGCATTCTGAAAGGCTTGTATGTTTTCCATCTAGAATTGTGCTGTGGCATTGGGGCTGGACCAGCATCCACGAGGGAGGTAACAGTGCCATAGTAGTCATTTGTGACAGTCATCGACGCACCATCAGATTCTCTCCACAAGAGTCGCAGTGGCCAAGATGAGGTCTAGGGCCCCATCCTTGACATCCGTTGGCTCTTGGGTATTGAGAAGAGCGATCTTGGGGAATGTCTCTAGGACACTGGCTATGTGATAGCCTGCCGCACCTGATTCCCTGCAGGGAGTCAGGATGGGGTGGTGTGCAATGAAGTCTCCTCCAGTGATCAATCGGTCTTGTGCTGTAGTAGCACAGACCTGGCTGATATCTAAGCTCCTACGGCCTGGCCTACTGTACACATTGTACAACTTGAGAGGCCCCCGCCTGGTGAATCTCATCAGGATATTCAACATCGTCTCCACAGTGTGATGCATCGGCTATTGCAGTGCAGGGGATTGTTGCTCTGACCAGGGTGATCAAGCCTTCTTTGCTTGCTGTGCTGGGCAACATTAAAAAATGATACCCTGAGAAACGAACAGTCCCCTTTGTTAATGTCTCCTGGAGCATGACAATGAGGATGGCATTTCTTGCATGGAAGCCATTAATGCTACACTGTAGTGTGCTTAGTTTGTGTGCCATGATGATATTTGGTGTTATTTACATCAAATACATCTTTGCATTCGGATTCAGAGTCAGTTTCCCCATCAGTGGTGGTATCTGACATATCGGGAGTCTGACAAAGCCATTGTAAAGTCCTTGCTGATTAAGTTATCTTCGTCTGTTTAGGGCTGTTTGTCAGGCTAACTAAGGGTCCACTGGGAGGTGGAGAGCCTTTGGCAGCTCTGACTTTTGTTGGCTGGGCTTTACCTGTGTGTTCTTGGCCTTTGCTGGCTCTTACTGCACAGATTCAGCCTGTTTTGGCTCTGCCCGTGAGGGCTTGGCCAGGGTAGGAGTAAGGAGGGGAGTCAGGCACATAGGTTCAGAGGTTGTTGGAGCCCAGTTACCAAAATTAAGGGTAGTGATTGGGGCTCCTTTCAGGGTCACCAGGACTCGATTGGTTGGGGCCATCCCTTGACATTTGGGAAGCCCCACACGTGGGTGTGATGTGATCAGAGCCACATCATACGAAACTGGGAAGTCAAGGAACACCATCGTAACTCCTATCGTCGGGATTTAGTGATGAGATACACACTTTCCTCCCATCTTTAAGCTTCTTCGATTCTGCAGGAAATCCAGGGTAGCTTGATCTTTAGGGACAGTGAACATGCCTTGGTCTCTAGGATCCCGGATTGACAACTAGATTTTTCTCTGCTTCTCCAGTGTTCTTACCAATTGGTAGCCATTGTCGAAGCCTTCAGGTTTAGAGGGAACCTTAAACTGTGGGAAACACTTATGGGGTCCAGACACTCCATGAGAGTCTGTCTCCGGCATAGGCCGTTTCGGTCATGGGAGCAGCTACTGGTTTGGCTGGTCCAGCTTGTGCTCCCATCTCGGTCAGGAAGAACGTCTGAGGGAAAGTCAGAGGTATCCCTGTTTGGGTGCAGGCCGGAGAGGTCAGCACAAGAGTCCATCTGCTGGACAATCTCATAGACAGACATGTTTGTGGATGATGGGTCCACTGTCTTGTCTATTTTAACAGCAGGTCTACTGCTTTTGATTTTTTATTGCCACTAAAAGCCATAAATGGCTTCAGAATGACTGCCATGGTTAGTGCCTTGCATGGTTCATCTCTGATCTCAGCTTGTGGGGGTTTTGGTGAATTAATTGTCATGATATTAAGCAGTTAGTTCACCCTCTCATGCCCCCACACACCACGGAGTCCAGCAAGGGGAAGCTGTATGTTAGAGCTTATGTGTAACAGCTACAGGGGTGGTGAGAGGGTATATACAACCTACATACGGCAAACGAGTGGGTAGGTTAAATCTCTGGTGAGAGACCAGAGGGGATGCCATTCCACCTACAAGATAGGCATCATTGTTTGGAGCCATCCGGTCATCCCTCTCAGTGAGCCAGAAGCTCAGGGTCCTGTACCTCTTCAAGCCGGTTTCAGTTGCAGGACAGTGGCTCAAGTGATGAGACCTTGCTTATATAGACCTTGACCATGACAAGGCGTGGACAATTGGAACGGTTGCAAAAGAAAACTTGCCTACTTATTTTTGGAGACATTGTTGGAAGAGGAGGGTATTGTTGAGGTGAGGGGCTGTTGGGAGAATCACAAAAAAAATTGATCCCACTGGGCTTAAGAGAGCAGAGGTGGGAGAAGTTGAAGGACGAGGAATGAGGAAGAAGGAGGTAAACAGTAAGGATGAAGAGTAATAATAAGGGAGGAGGGTATTGAAAATAAAGAATGTGGAAGATGTTGGGAGAGAATAAGGAATATTTTCTGAAGGTTGTGTAATGGCCTGGGTAGGTGACTTTGAGTGGACTGAGCTGACAGAGGAGGGGTAGTAATAGCAGTATCCAGAGTCCTGATCACAATAGAGTAGGGATTGGGGAACCGGAAAATTTAAAGTCAACGGGGCTGGTTGATGAAGGGAAAAGCCTCAGAGCCCCTAATACAGGTACAAAATCATTATTGGCCATAGTAAGCCCAAAGTATTTGGGAAGAGAAATGGTTCGCCACTCAGGGTTCCTATAAGGAAAAAGGGTTAGGTATCTAAACAGGGGAATACTGTGCCCATGGCTCTCTAAGGCCATTCAAGAATTTTGTCATGGCTCTCATATCTTAGTAAATGGATAGAAGGGGTTGGAGAAGAAAAGGAAAAGGAATAGGGGGGTATAGAAAAGTAGGCGAGACTCCCAAAAATTCGGCCTCATTCTCCGTCTCCTATGAACCCCAACAACAAAATGGGCATAGGATTGCAGGGAATGATGATGAAGATAACAATAATAATAATAATTATTGTTGTTGTTGTTGTTGTTGTTGTTGTTGTTGTTGTTGTTGTTGTTGTCGTCATCATTGTTATTGTTATCATAATAATAATAATAATAATTGCAATAGTAATTTTAACCCATTGCCGCCGGGGAAAATGAATAAAAAATGGGGAAAATGCTGTCCTTATTTTTTATATTTTTGTGAAATTTCTCTGTTCATAGATGGCTCTACTAGTCCTGATTTCACCTTTCCTTGAATTGGCAGGAAAAAACACATTCTTACTAGTGCTATAAATATAAATGGTGTTATTTTTAACAGCAAATTAGGATAACGTTAAATATTTTCGTAAATCAATGAAAAGGGTGAAAGGGTGAGACAGGCAGTACTCATAATTGGCTCACTGGTGACTTAGTACAAGTGTAGCCATCTATGTGTAAAAACAAGAATGATATTCCTAATCATAATAAATAGAATAACAATAATGTCAATGAAACAGAACATACAAAAGATCAACATCTCTTGGGAACTACTGACAGAAATTAAATAAAAAACAAATGTACTAAAATTTTATTAATCATCTGTTTATCTTAAAGCATTGTTACACTGCATCCCAATATATTAAAATCATCCACTGTAATGGCTTTTCAAAATATGATATAATAATCTGCCATTAGATTAGCTATTTGTATACATCATAACTTTAGTTCCTTTTCTTTCCTTTTCTCAACACACAAAACAATCATAATTAAAAAAGAACAAACACAGAAATATGCATCTCAGAATAAAAAAAAAATATTTGAACTGATTCAAAATGCTGTATAATGAAAACTGTGAAAGAATTATCCATTTTCTATTCATATCACAAGTTTAAATTATCCTGAAAGAAAAGTAAGGTAAGGAAACATGAATATCTACGATAGTTAATGGTTAATAGTTAAAACAAATAAATGTGGTACACAGCAAGGACATGCAGCACTATGTTAAAGTATAGTAGCATAAAGGATTAGGGATGAGTGAATGATTAGGGTAAAGTTCGAGGTTAAATAGTACTAGAAGGTAGTATAGCAGTGTAAGGGTAGAGAGGGTGAGCTGATAGGGCATAGTATAAGGTAAAAGATTTTAGAAGGGGAAAGTGTTAATGAGGATTATTTATGATAAATATGCATCTTTACATTGCAAGATCAATAACAAACTATACATTTTTAATACATGAAAACTGTACACTTTTTTATCAGCGAAATACATTCCCTTACAGTTAGAAAAAAAGGAAAAAAAATAGAAATTTTGTACATTATATCTGTTAGCATCTGCACAGAGATCTGAGTAAATATAAGCACAAAAATATACAAGTACAGTTATAATTACATACTTCATAAATACTTCAAAATCTCTCAATTGCTTCATTCCATCTTTTTCAGCATTTCAACATGAGTAGGCACTTAAAAAATTGAGAATACAAATATCAATTCAACAGACCTAAAAAAATCCAATTATGCTTTCCCAAGACATCTGAAGGCAAAAATTAGTCTACAAATTGCTGACATAGAAATCATCATA